AAAAAGAAAAAAATAAACTTCTCAAATTATTGTTATGCTTTTGACATTGTCCCATTCAATACTAGTGGAATTTAACGGTTGAGATTTGAGGTTTCTTCTTCACTAAATTTTCAGTCTTTTATTTTTTAATTTTCTTTCATTAAAGATTAGATTTAATTTTATGTTATTTTGTTGACGTTGGTTACAAAATATTTGTACACATTTTCATTTTGTACCACATTTTTTGGATCACCAACCTTTGTACTTTCATTTGTTTATTCACAATTTTGGATCAATTCAATTTGCAGTTGATTTCTCATCTATTGAATTATACTCTCTCACATTTCATATTTGCTCATTATTCATCAAAAAGTTGGGAATTTTACTATTGCTATCCCTTTCATTTTCTCAACATTAACAAACCATATCATATACATTCAAACCTTTTTTTTCTGTTATTTATAAAAAAAATAATGAAAATAAAATCTCACCCCCACCCAAAAAAAACAAAACCCAAGACAATTAAAAAAAACCTATGACCATATAGTACAAATAGTAGGTTAAATAGAACCATTTGAAATTATAGACAGATAAATAGATGTAAAAAAAACCCAGAAAATGAAACAGTACAAATGTCACTCAAAAGATATAGTTTTGAAAGAAATATGATCTATTGTAATTATCAAGATTTAAAATTTTTACCAATATTTTCATATGCTCATGAGTTTAGTTTGACATTGATATTAATCAACAAAATATTAAAAAAATATCAATAAAACATCACTTAAGATAAATTATAAGAACTTTTTAATGACGAAATATTTATTTGTTATTTTAAATATATTTTTAACTTGATTTTTTTCTTTTTTAGAAATATCCATGGACATCAATACTTTTACCGATATTCTCATTCTTTTTTTTCTTCTTCTTTTCCTTACTGTTATTTGCAATCTCGTATCTGACCAATCGCTTAAGATTTGTAAATTTGTATATATATAGTACTCTTTTATCAGTTACTTAATAGAACTAACACATGTAGAAATCAGTTACATCTACCAATTATGTTGGGATTAAGGAAAGAGGTAGCTAGAAATTTAATAGAATGAAGATCAAGTTTTTTTTTTTTTGAGAAAATAATTAAGATCAAGTATTAAAACATAACAACAGATATTATCGATGTGACAAAATATAGAACATGTTGGAGACAGATTTCATCACGCACATGACAGGTAGTGAGTGGATGCAAAATATGACACGTGGTTTATAGAGGTCGTGGAAGATCGGCCAAGTATGCACATCTCGGCTCATCTCATCGGTCGAGCCGAATCCATTTAGTGGCCGAGCTGAACAAGCTCATTCAGACTTGCGTTCCCATGAGAGTGGTCGAGTCAGTTGGCTTTCCTCAGCTCGGTCACGCCTCCGATATACTCCACGACAGCACGCCGCATTTCACGGCAACCTTAAAGAACCGTTGAGGCCTTGTTGGGAACGCTGTCGGGGTTTCATTTCACTCGTCTAGAGGTACGCGAACATTTCGATTCTCTCTCGATTTAATTCGGACTTTTGCTGACTTTGACATCGGAGTGCTCACTCTGTTTTGCAGATCTGCTACCTGACATTTGAAGTTCACTACCCAGCTTATCTAGTCCAAGCCGATGTTCACAGAGTTGGTTGATTTCTTGATTCAACAGAACACGTTAATAAATAATTACTTATGATTGTTGTAAATTGATATCTAGGTTAATCATTGATTAGATTAATCAAATATCTAGGTTAATCATCGATTATATTAACCGATTGTTTAATTTATAATTGTAATTAATAAAAATAATGACTATTTTCCATTTTGTGTGCGTCTGTTTTTTAAAGATATACACGTCAATTTATGTTCAAAGTTTCCCTTAGAAAATTGAGCCCATTGAGGCCCAATTTGGAGAGATGTTCTACGGAACAGCCCAATGCAAGAATAGCCCAATTGAGAGATGCAAAGGCTAAATTACCATGGTTGCATCTAGGATTCTAGATGCCTTTTGTGGCTCTCTTCTCTTAAAAACATATGAGATAATATCTTGGGAGAGCTGTTTTAAAATCGTATTTACACCAATGTCTTCAATTTTCTAAATTTACACTTTTAGATATTTTCATCTAGAATTTTATTCTAATACCCTTTCTACCCTTATTTATTGCTTTTTAATATATTATAATTTTAAAATTTAAAAGATTTGAATCCTTAATTTGTAATTATATTCATTTAATTATTCATTCAATTTTTCAACCTAAAATCCTCAAATCTCTCAAAGATTTGATCCTCTCACCAATTAACAACTTCCATATTTGTGAAATCATGATTTGAATTTTCCACTTCGTTTTCTACCGTCTCCAACCTCCTTCGTTTGCCGCCGCCTTCCTTTCAGATGTCAGACCTTCATCAACGAGGACAGGATACTGCATACCGTCTTCTTTTAATTCTTCTTTCCTTCTAGATCTTCTTCTTTTCGTTGCCGAATAGACTTTCCGTCGACGTTGTGTGCTTCCATCAACGAGGTATTTATTCCTTCAATTTTCGTTGCACTTTTCCAACGCCGTGCAGCGTTCTTCCATCGACGCCGTTGAGTGTTCTGTTACCTGTCCCCTTCTGTTTTTACCATTGATAATTATTAGTCTTCTGTTAAGATTGGTATATATGGGGATATATTTTATGTATGTGTATAGAAAATTGAAGTTCTAAACGTCTCATAGTCTTAGTATTCCTGATTATATTCG